AAAAAAAAAAAAAAAAAAAAAAAAAAAATGATGGACAGAAATTGGGTGCACATGTTCTGCTTACCCTCTTTACGAGAGTGCCAGTGTGAAACTGCCCACATGCAGGGTAGACAGTTGCGGCGCATTCAGGTGTGTGGTGGAGGTACAGTCCCTGTGCCCTCTCTGTGCCTGCTGCCCAGGGCACGCGTGCCCTCCAGAGCACTTCACTACTGTTTCTATTTTATACCTGCAGAGATCAATGCTTATCCTTTCAAGAAACAGAGAAAATGCTGCTGCTATGTAAATACATAAAAATATGTGCAGTATATGGTATAAACATACTATACACATTTAAGAAGACATGTTGAAAGTATGGCAGTCTTTTTAATGTGTTCAGATGTCTGAAGTTTTGACTGTTTCACAGTGTTTTTCCTAATAGATCCCAATGAGTGGATATTTGTTCTTATCTTTTTAATATTATTATAGGCAGTGCTACTGTAAATATTCAGATGCATGTTTTTCACTAGTTGTTAAAGTATGTGTTTAGAAGGATGTTTTGAAGTAGCACTGCTTGGTTGAAGGGTGTGTGCATCTTAAAATCCATGCGGACAAGCCAGTGTGCCGACAAGAGGGTAGGCTCCTCTAAGGGTATATAAACGTGCTTCTAATTTTCACCCCGTAACAGGTATTTTCAGCTTTTAGATCTCTGACACTCTGAGACACGAAAAGGCTCCCTTGCAGTTTTAATTGGCTTCTCCTGTGTGACGTTCACATGTGATTGATGGAGGCCAGCCATGTACTTGGTTTTGAAGGCTTTGTTTGTTGTTTCCATTTTCGTGTGGGTTGGGGGCTCCTTCCCTGTTTGGGAGAAGTCTGTACTTCCTCGAATGTCTCACAGCTGTCCCCTCGGCACTGCCCTTCACGCATTTGATGTAGACCACAGAGCAAAAGGGTGGCAAACGATTTTTAAAATGAAAAGTACCCAGCAAGGATTGGCTTTATCCCTTGCTCACATCATTTTCTTTCAGCCTGCAAACATTTTGTGTGTTTAATCTCATTAGGAAGTCCCATGGCACTAACTGGTGAACTAACTAGTAGTTTTAAAAATTTCGTCTTGGGGTCCGGGGATGTAGCTCAGTGGACCACACCTACCTCGCAAGCACAAGGTCCTGAGTTTGATCCTTGGCCCTGGAAAAAATTTTTTTGTCTTTATTCTAACTTATAAGATCACTAGTGAGACTTGACTTTCATGCACCTTATTCTGTGGAGGTAAAAACTACTTCTCTTCTCAGTGTTCCACCCAAGAGTTCTTCCTGATAGTTCGAACCCTGTATCACCTGAAGTCAGAGCTACAAGTGTTAATGCCCGTGGTGAATTCGCAGGTACAGTCAGACCTGCTCCGGGTGATTGTTTTGGAAATTCCAGAGCTCCTGGATCCAGTGGAACATTACTTAAAGATACTCAACGAACAGGCTGCCAAGTAAGTACAGAGTGCTCAGTCCTTCCCTTCTGACAGCGAGCTTAACCCCACGCATTTGGCGTCGATATATGGCTTCTCTGTCTTCGTTAGAATAACACTAGACATGGCTTGGATGCAGTGCAGTTAGACGTGTGAGGGGTACTGAGTTGTGCATTACAGCCAAAAGGTGCCTGCACCAGACCCTGCTGGTAGGGCAGGTGGAGTGCTGACTGCCTTGCTCCCGGGATGAGAAGATAGAGCCAGGCACAGCTGGGAGAGGCAACTCTAACTCAGAAACCCAGGTTGGGCAGCATCTTGTACCCACCCCAGATTCTCAGATCCGCCTCTTATTTAGAATTTCTTTTTGGAAAGCTCTCCTTTGAAAGGACGCCACTTCATGGTGCATCCCACAGAACTCCGGATGAAAGGCAGATTTGGTGTTCACATCTGTCTTTGTGTTCTGAACAGGCAGGTGACAGAGATGTAATTTTACCTGTCGGCTTCAGCAAGGGGATCATGAACTTGCCCATTGAAAACGAAGCAGGGTAATCTTTGCAACCCGCGGAGGCCAAGGCATGGCCCCATAAATGCTGTGTGACAGAGCTGGGTTAGAAAACCACCTTCCCGACTTCCAGCCCTTTGGTCTTTCGGCATTCTGCAAGAAGGAAGCGATAACTGGTCTAATTAATTTACTTCAATACATGTGTTGCATTTTTTTTTTTTACGTTTTAGAGTTGGGGATAAAACTGAATTATTCAAAGACCTTTCCGACTTCCCTTTAATAAAACAGAGGAAGGATGAAATTCAAGAAGTTACTGTCAAGATCCAAACACATTTGCAAGAAATAAGAAAAATACTAAAAAACCCTTCAGCGCAGTATGTGACAGTTTCAGGACAGGAGGTAATGTCCAGCGTACTTTTCTTTTGCATCAGCTTGCAGTGAGTGGAAAAGATATTTTGAAGTGTAGACAAAAGTCTGAGGAGAATGTTTAAGTATCACTCTTTGAAAGTTTCTGTTTTGTTCCTTGGAAATATGTTGTAATTTGTTTTCATAAGAAATATTTTACTAACAGTGTTTTACTGGTCTCTTGATAATGCATGTAACTTAATGTTACGAGTTTTGATGTTGTCTCTTGAATCTATGTTATAGAAAACCTTGATTATTGTGAGTAGTAATATAGAGAATTCACCCAGCCTGCGGCCAGGAGAGAGATCCTGGCTTACAGATGGTGAAATGGCCCCGAGTTAGCACAACTGCTAAAAGAAGACAAAACAAAAGCACCCTGAAACCTGCCCATGGCAAGTCTTCTGTGACGGCGGTGTTGTGTAGAATGTGTGCTTCTCTTGCACCTTTCCTCTGCCGTGCTGGGTGGACCCCGGGCCCACACACAGCAGGGAGAGAAGCACTTCTCTCTCCAGTCCTCTGGGTCCTGCGTGTCACTTCTGTGTCTTACCTTTACACGAAGATTCAAGCTGCCGGGATTTGGGAAACTTCACTTTGCTAGAATAGCAAGTGGGGAAAATAATTTTATTCAAGATTTTAAAAAATAGGTATTTTTCTTATAGGGAAATTTTTATTTTCAAATCAAATGTCTTTTTTTTTTTTTCTACCGGGAATCAAACTTAAGGCCTCACGCTTGCCACGCAGGTGCTATGCCTGAGCTCCATCCCCAGCCCTAGCTATCTTAATCTTTATATTATTTTGTGTATTTTGTTAAAAGATGGCTGATCGTATGTAAATAAAGCACTATAAATGATAGCATTTATGAAAATATTTATACATTGGACATTTAAGAACTTCACTGATTTAAGTTAGCCTGTTGTTCTGTACTAAAATCGTGAAGACGTTCCCAGGCAGGTATTTCATTAGATGTGTTCCACTTAGGGCTCTGTATGACAAAACGTGATTTGACCATATTTATGAGTATTCATGGTGTGACAGCATTTGCACGTTATCTTCCAAACACCAGGTATTTAACTGCTTCTCCTGTCTTGCTGTGTGCTCATGACATTGCGAGGTAAAAAGTAACCTGAGTGCCGCTCTTGTGGCTCAGTGGAGAAAACCTGGTGACCACAGTGGCTTTGGTATCCACAGTGGAGGGAGTGGGAGAGGAGCTGCCTGGGGCTGCAGTGGGGAGTGCTTGGTGTGCCTGCCAGCCCTGCCAGCCCCGTGCAGGGTGACGGCAGGGGCCCTGTGCTGGGTGAAGGCGTGGAGTCCGAGTTAAACTCGCTGAAGCTTTTCCTGGCTTCCCGATCCTACCGCGCTCTGCGGAGGTGCTGTCAGTGAGGGGAGTGCTCACACTAACCCAGCACTGGTTGAAGCCCAGGAGTGTGCTAGGGTTTTACACACATTGTCTTGTTTAATTCTTGTGCAACATGAAGTGAGTTATTCCAAGGTGGCTGAGCAGGAAACTGGGCTTTGGAGCCATTGGCTGAGTGCCCCAGGGTCAGCAGCCAGGGCCGCCCTGGCCTGCCATGCCCCTGCTTTTGTCACTGCAGTCACCAGTACCAACCCCAGGAACTGTCAGCAGCACGGATTTACCTGGTGAGATCCAGTCACCTTTGAGTCTATATTGTCCCAACTAAAATTAAGCTTGAGTGTTAGGGAGACAGTCTGGGGTTCATTTGGCCGCTTTTAAGTAAAAATGGAAGAGAATGATGAAGAGTTGGTTATTTGTTGTGAGTGTAGCCTTGAAAGTTAAGGAAAAGTCCAGAATGGAGATCAAGCGTTTGTTTTCTGGATGATTAGGAAGAAAAATGCTATCTTTTTATTCTTTACATCTTAAGTAGGTCAGGACAACGAATTTGAGAGACTCTTCTAGTTATTCCCAGTAGGATGAGTTCTTGTTGGTTTTAACAGCCTGCTCTAGATTTTTACTGCTACATTAATGCAATCTTATGTTTAAATTTTTGAGAAATAGCGATTCTGTTCAAACACCAAATAAATTCTAAATATTCAGAATTCCTATAGTCAGATTCTGTTTTGAAAACAGACTAAAGGTTTTGGTAAATTATTTAGAGTTACATAGAAGGCTAGACTGAGGTCTGTCGAGTGTGATTACTCTGAGAAGTGAGGGGGGAATCTCTTGGTGGGCCAGGGATGTAGCTCAGTGGTGCCGCTGCCTGCCTTGTAAGGGCAAGGTCCCGAGTTTGATCCCCGGTACCAAAGCAAACAAAAACCAAAACCGTCTTTTTGACTGTGTGCACATGCTTCATATTTTATACTCTGTCTGAATTTTCCTTCTGTACCTTTGACTGCTGTCACACTTTTAAAGCCCTAATGGGCTGAAGCACCCTGTGTAGAGCACAGATCTTGTTATCACTGAGAGTGGACTGAGGAGTGGCCAGACCGCCACACCCGGGTTGTGCTCGGTTTTCAGGACTCGGCATACCGAGCCTGGTTGTGAGATGGCTCTGCAGGGATTGGCTCGGGAGGAAGTCATAAAAGAAGGAATTTGTGTCACTTCCTGTAGCTCGCTGCTTCCGTGGCAGGCTCTGTCTTCCGTGATGTCCACGGAGAATTATCTCAGACCTACACCACACATGGACCCGGGGCAGGACTGGAGCAGTACTGATCAGTACTGGTGTTTGTAAAGGAAAGGGAAGCAAATACTGGGAAAAATCTTCAGGAAAATTTTATGAATTCATAGCATGCAATACATCCAAAAATCTGTTTTGTGTGTTCAAAGTATGGGAAACATTCTTTGTTAAATCTTCTACGTGGAAAGGTGTAAGAGGTGAGAGGCAGAGGAGGGCGCAGGTTAGTGCCGGGCTGGAGGACCCGGCCTGGCGGCCTCTGACGCACCGGCTGCGGTGGAGGAGGAACGCGACTTGTAAGCAGGCAGAACGTCCCTGAGGGGAGTGGGGAGTCACAAGGGCACCTGAGGCAGGTGCCTCCCATTAACACCTAGGAGATCTCTCAGAGGTTTCTGTGCTGTGTGCAGTTTTCCAGTGTTATTCTGTGTTCTTTTGGAATAAAATGCTTAAATAAAAGCCCAGGCTGATCATTCTACTTGAAAAACAGAATAGCTAGAAAGAAATTTCCCTATTCTATGTGGTATGGTCAAAATACCCAGTGAATGTTTAAAACTTTCAGAGGTATTATAATAAAAGGCGCACTGCCACGGATGCCCTCAGACCCTCGGCCTGGCTTCCGGCACACGTATCTTGTGATCCCGCCACTTTCTGAAGCAGGTCTGGAGTCCTCTTTCCTGAGAGTCCTTGTGGGATGTGATCAGAAATCCACAGCTGCTTCTGCCGAGCACCGCCCTGTGGCCAGGCAGCTCCTAGAGACATGATACTGTGTCCCCATCCACTTTGACACCGTGCGCTTCTGGCTCAAAAAGACCGTGGAATAGAAACATTGTGAAGCCACCTGGGACACGGAGGCAGCCAGGACAGCACAGCTAAAGACACCCAGGAAAGAACTTCCAGAGCTGTGGCAGCAAGTGGCAAAAACCCTGGGACAAGTGTGCAGAGCTGGGCAGGAGTCGGGGGGACCCATGGCACTGTGGCCTTCAGGGTAAACGTTTTATTTAAACCTTCACTGTAGTTTTCCATCACACCTCATGTGGCTCGTGCAGCCGAGGAGCAGGCTAGTGGTGACACTCAGGACTGGCAGGGACCGGAGCCCGAGTGGCTGCAGAGTTGTGTGTCCCAGCAGGCGACCCTGGAGCTTGAGCGGCGACTGCGGCCCTGGCTGCCCAACTGGCCACCTCTGCCCCTAGCGGCGGTGCTGGAGCCACGGTGGCCCCAGTGTAACCAGTTCCACGATTCCATCCCTGTTTCCTGTCCCTGCTGTGGGCTCTGGGTGGCTGTCATGGGGCTGGGTGCTTCCTCCCAACCCCGGGGCCCACCGGAGCCGGAGCCCTGCGTTTCTCCTCTGCTGCCACTCCCAGGCGGCCCCCCATCGGGCAGCAGTGTGAGAGTGATTCACCTTCTTGTCCATCGTATCTATATAGTGACTGCTTCTCAGTTACTTTTCATGTCCAAAGGGACTCTAGTCCCTGCCCTCATAGCTGTGTCACTGAGTGTCCATACGTTGGGGCATCTTTATTCAGAAATTTTTGGTAAAGGCACAAATTGGTCAAATTAGCTACTGATTCCTGTCATAACTAATGTAAAAGCTGCCGGGATTCTACTAATTGAAAATAGGTGTATAGCCAGCTGATGTTACTAGTATGACGACAAATACCTGGAACTACGTGCATATCGTAACCGCAATTGGGAGAAAACTTCCCACAGCCGCCCAGCACTAAGCGACAGCCACACGGCCTCCTGGCTTCCTGAGAAACCTGCAGGAGAGCAGAGATGGACAAAGAGCAGAAATGGCTCCTTGGGCAGGTGGAGCAGTCAAAACTTACTTTGTGCAGATGCTCGTAGAAGATTTGGATTCCCTGAACAAAGGCTGTTGCACAAAACCCTGTTCTGTGTGGAACAGAAGAGGGCCCATGGCTCAAACTAGTGTAATATGTCATAGTCGAATTTTTTTTTAATAGTTGAATATTTTAAATTTTTGTCCGGAGAGGGTCTGGGGTTTAGCTTAGTGGCACCGCACCTGCCTTGCAAGTGCAAGGTCCTGAGTTTGATCCCCAGTATCACCAAAAAAAAAGTTTTTTTTTGTCATTAGAAATTTAATCTGAATGGAGTAATAGGATTCTTAAGATAAATGGATACTAATAAAACAGGCTATTAATGAAAAAAATCACTATTGCTAGTATGCACATAGCAATATTGTGAAGTCCCAAGTTGTATCCTTTATTATAGACTTTTGCTCAGTACAAATTGTGCTTTATCATAATCAGTCAGATTTGCTGTTAAGACATACAAATGCTCCCAAGAATAGTGCTGGGTTTATTTTGAATGCTTAGAATACTTACTGAACTGTTATACTACAATGAAAACGTAAGTGTTACCCATTTAGATATCTGAATGCGCATTTGTATTTATTTGTTCTAGTTCATGATTGAAGTAAAGAACTCTGCTGTGTCTTGCATACCTCCTGACTGGGTGAAGGTTGGAAGGTAGGTTTAAAACCACTCTTTTCTTGTAACGGAATCACAGTGACCTGTGTGCCTCTGTGTGGTGCTTGCTCAAAGGTAAAGCAGCTTTTCTCCCTTGATTTCCTTATGGACATTTTGACCAAAGAGAATATTTTGTTATTTTATCATTGATTTTTAAAATATTTTTCATAAAGATGTCATTTTTATAATCTTCCTTTGTAGCTTACTGTTTTGTCAGTTCAGAGCACACAAGGAGAAACACGGAGGACCTCAGTGTAAGGTCAATTTGGGTAAGGTGTGCTGGTGCACACCTGTAATCTCAGCCCTGAGGCTGAGGCAGGAGGATGGCAAGTTTGCACCCAGCCTGGACAGCTTAGTGACGTACAAAACCCAGACGACAGATGCAAAGGGCAGGGGTGAAGTTCATTTTGGGTAAGGTGTGCTGGTGCACACCTGTAATCTCAGCCCTGACTCTGAGGCAGGAGGATGGCAAGTTTGCACCCAGCCTGGACAGCTTAGTGACGTACAAAACCCAGACGACAGATGCAAAGGGCAGGGGTGAAGTTCAGTGTGAATGCCTTGATTTGGATCTTTGGTAAAAAAAAAAAAAAAAAGAAAAAGGAAAAGGTTAATTTGGTCGCTTGAACTTCTTGATGAATGCTACACCTGACATTTCCTTGAAGAAGCTGAAATTTCATTTTGTACCTCACTGAGTTTCACATTTCTTTCTTTCTTAACGCTTTCTGTGGCACATAGCCATAGTAGTTCTTTGCATCTATTTAAACTTGGCATGAATTGATGAAAACAAATTAATCCAAAACAGAATTAGACAGGCACAGTGAGACTGCCTTTTCCCATTGGCATTCATCTCCAAAGCAGCCCCTTTGATGCTCTTTCTTTGAGACAAGGTCTCGCTTTGTAATTCAGGCTGGCCTTGAACTCACTGTGTAGCCCAGGGCAGAAGGAACGCCGTGCAGTGGAGGGCCGGAAATGCTGGTGCGGTGTGTGAATTACTAATTATTTTAATTTAAAAGGGAAACTGTTTATTATTCCCCATTGCCACAGCCACAGACCCCACAGCCCAGTGAAGGGCTCTTCCGCTCCAGCACCACCTTCCCCTGCCCGAGCCCTGCTGAGGAAGAGCCCCGTGTGGCCGGGTTTCTCTGAGGGTTTGTCCTCCGACCGCTCTGTCCTCCCTCTGGCCGCCACTTGGAACAGTGCTCTCTGCAGTGACACTGTGACAGTTGCAGCGCTCTGTCTAGAACAGGGACTGAGGGTCTTACAATGAGTTTTGCAGAACAGAGAAATGTGATAAATACGTGCAGAGGTCTCGATGATGCCACTTAAAGCCACCAGCAGGGCAGCCTGAGTGCTAGGCTTTGCTGAGCGTTCGGCAGTGTGAGGGTGAGAACAGTGGCGTGTGTCTTCTGCCCTGGGCCGTGGGGCCTGGCAGTGTGACACGGGACACACCTGTAATCCCAGCACTCTCGGGGGGGGGGGGCTGAGGCAGGAAGATCTCGAGTTCAAGCTGAGCCTGAGCAATTTAGCGACTTACTGAGACATTTCCAAAATTTAAAACAAATTGGGCTGGGGGTGTAGCTTTGTGCCACGCACCGAGTTCAGCCCGTAGTAACTTGAGTGCACGTGTGGCACGCACATGCACATGCAGTCCGTTCTGCGAGCCCACGGTCACAGGAGCTGGGGGGTGGCTGGGCGAGGCCTGGGCCTGGGTTCGCTGTCCATTCCTGTGTGTGGGTCCAGAGCAGCCCGACCTGCTGCTGCCTCCCACACCTGCCTTCCTGCTGCCTGCGCAGCTCCGCATGGTTCCCCTCCCTCCGAGGTTGAACAGAAAAATATAAAGTGTGCACAGTAAGGACCTCCCCATGTTCCACCACCCAGCTTGTCGCCTGCTTAGAGAATTCGTGTCTGATTTTTTAGAAAAGCATTCCATTTGGTGTAGAGACCACCACGCCTCTGCAGTACACAGACGCAGACCGCTGCCTCCGCACGCAGGAGCGGCTGCCATGGCCTCGCTGCTTCCAGAGCAGCCCTTCTGTTCTGGGAGAGCAGGTAGAGGGTGTGCTCCTGCGTGCCCTTCACTTCCGGGTGATGCTTTCTTTCTCCTGACTTCCTGTTGATGCTCTCTTTCCCTCTGCAGCACGAAGGCCGTGAGCCGCTTCCACTCCCCGCTGGTGGTGGAGAGCTACGGACTCCTGCAGCGGCTACGCGAGCAGCTGGTCGTGGACTGTGGCGCCGAGTGGCTCGGCTTTCTGGAGTGAGTTTGTGTGACTGCGGGGTGCGCTCTGACTTTCCACCCTGACAAGTAGGCTGGAAAACGTTTCCACCGGAAAGGCACAGAGATCAGTGCTCCTGACCTGCTGTCAGACTACGGAGCGGTGTTCTCGGGTTTGCTTTTTAATCCACCCAGATGAAAGCTTGCCTTCGTCTCGGAGGAGACCAAGTGGACCTGATGTCACTGCTCACATTCTGCTGCTAATGATGTGCTGTAACCCACTTTTTGAATTTCCACCTTGGAATTGACCTTTCTTTCTTTTTTTCTTTTTGTTGGAGATGAAGTCTGATGAAGTGTTCCAGGCTGGGCTCAAATTTAAGGCAGTTCTCCTGCCTCAGCCTCCTGAGTGCTGGGATCACAGGCATGCACCACCACACGCTGCTCATTTTTCTTCTTAGCTTTATTTTTAAAGTAAATTTTATTTTATCCCATTCCCTTCCATAACCCTCCCCCATGTACACAATCTTTTGTTTCTGTTTTTCCTTCTGTTTTCACTTTTTTCTTATTCCTTGGTTCTTTTCTCCTTCCTTTTTCCTTTGGTCTCCCTCCCATTTGAACATCTTCCCATTTCCTGTTTCCCAATATCTGTTATACATTTTAGTCCTTATTTCCACTTTTGCTTTCTCACACCAGAGAGACTGTGGTATTTAAACATGTGTGTCCCACTTATTTCATTTAAGAGTATGGTCTCAAGGTGGATTCATTTGGCTGTGAATGTCTGAAGCTCGCCCTTCTTTACACAGAGCAGTACTCCATTATATAAAAAAACACATCTTCCTTATCCACTCATCAACTGATGGGCATTTGGGTTGCTTTCAGGATTTAGCTATTACCAACTGTGCCACTATAAACATGAGTGCACATCTATCCTTGTGATATGATTCTTCTAATTCTTTCAAAAGATACCCAGCAGGGGAATACCTGGGTCAAATGGAACCTCTAATCCTAGTTGTTTGAGGAATCTCCACACTGATTTCCCCAGTGGTTGCACCAGCCTGCACTCCCACCAAAAGTGGAGAAGGGTTCCTTTCTCCCCACAACCCTGCCAGGATTTGTTATTGGTTGATTTCCTGATAGCAGCCATTCTTTCTGGGGTGAGGTGGAATCTCAGCGTTATTTTCTTCTGAATCTCACGAGTGACCAGTGATGTTGCACATTTTTTCATATATTTATTTGCCATTTCTAGTTCTTCATCTGAGAAGTGTCTTTTCATCTCAGATGCCCGTTTTTTTGACTGGGTCTTTAAACTGGGGGGGTCTGATGTTTTGAGTTCTTTGTATATTCTAGATAATAGTCCTTTATCTGATGAATAGCTGGTAATTTTTTCCCGCTCTGTGGGTTGTCTCTTCACTCTGCTGGTAGTTTCTCTTGCTATGTCAAAGCTTTTTATTTTTCTTCTTAAAGATTTAATGTCTCTTGCAGAGTTGTTTGTGGATTCATTGTTTTGTTTTTATTCTTTTAATTTTTTTCTGCACTCTTGCATGCTGTGTGTCTTCCTTTTAGCTTTTTATTTTGAGAAATGGTAAAGCTATGGGGAGGTGAAGTGCCCGTCCACCTGCCCCTCTCCTAGGGGAGAGGAAAAAGGAGTTCCCTTTTGCCCCATTTGTCCTCTCCCACTTTCCATACACGCACGTGTACATTCTCTGATGTGTGTGGAAGGGTGTGCAGCTGTCCTAAACCTTACCCTGGAGCCCCGAGCCTTCATCTTCTGAGGCTGAGGAGCACTGCTGCATAATGTGAGCTGTTCTCAGCCTAGGAGAATTCGTGTAAGGTTGTTAGGCTGCCCTGATTCCCCGAGGTGCCCCTTGGCTCTTCAGTGGAGAGCTGGCTCTGTCTCTAGTCGGTCTGAATCTAGTAGGCACCTCTGGTTTCTGTGACCTGGCCTTGGGGTTGAGTCCTCGCCTCAGGCACTTGTGTCCTGGCGCTGGGGTGGGGGCGCTGGCCAGTGCAGTCTTGGGGCCGTGGTAGTGTGTGTGGCATGCTGACCTGTGTCACACGGTTTAGTCCTGGAATCAGGAGAGTGTCAGATAATTACGGTCCTGGGGAGTAGCGGGTTAGGGTCTTGGTGGCTTGCACGAGACTGAAGAAGACTGTGACAGAGAGCAGGATGGGAGAAAGCCCCTCTGGTGCTCACTTCTCGGAGGCAGGATAGGACTGGGCTCCCAGCCAGCACGAGAGCACACGCAGTAGTCATTGCTGGGCACTGTGTGGGGTACGGGGTGGGGGTGGCGAAGGAAGGGCAGGTCCACACCCTGGCCAGAGAAGGAATTGGAGTGTGCTTCTGGCAGCCCTCTGGAGAGGCTGCTGGGTCCCACAGGTGGCACCCAGGGATGGCGGGGCGGGTCCCTGTGTGTGGGACTACATAGTCCTTCATGCTGTTCCTGGAATTTGTATGGCTCATTTGGGGGAACTTTGATCTAGAGGGAGGTAAATGATGTTCACTGTGCGCTGTGTACTGAGTAGGTTTTTCCAGTTCACAGAATTAACGCAAATAGCCAGACACTTAGAATGTGTTCAGAATCTTTTAAAAACAAATCACTGATGTCGAATACTAGAAAAGTGTACCTGTGCCCTTTTGCAGAAGGACGCAGTGTGAACACCTGCATATCAAGCAGTGAACACACGGAATCCCAGTGTCTCTAAATCCATACTGCAGGAGACAAACATTTTTAGGGGAGGTGCTTGGTGTGACGCCACGCCTCCTCCCTCCTTCCTTCGTTCTGTCCTTCCCTGCTTTACAAGGATGAAGGTTGTGTACTGTGCACGTTTGCAGGGAGAGGCCACTTATCTGATGTCTGTTTCACTTCTGTCTGTGATAAAGATAAGGAAAGGGGGGTTGGAGTTGGAGTCACCGCCAGGCGAGGGATATCAGGAGCTCTGAGAACCCGGCTAGAGTCATGGTAGACTGTGCCTCTCAGCGTCCGGCCGGGGTTCGATCCAGCCCTGTAGGCACAGTGAGCGAAACCAGAGACGCTGGGCTCTGGGCCCTTCTGCCCACTCAGTGACCCTCGGCCAGTGGCTTTGTCCCTCTGGGCTTCCCTTTAGGACTTTGTAATGCAGACCTGCCGCAGTGGTGATTATAAAGTAGTACAGGTTCTGTCAGAGTCTCTAGTTGGTAAACATGGTTTTCCCATCAGCTTTTTGCTTGGGCCTTGTTTATAGTCAACTTAGTTAATATTAGATGCCCCCATTTTCTAGTCTGTTGATGAACTTGTGATTTTTCACCACCTCTTTTAAAAATTTTTTTTATATTAAACTATCTCTCAGAAGCTGCATCATTATCCTAAGGATTTAAGCTTAGTCATATATTTCTCTTTACTTCAAAAGACATTATTCAAGGCATTTAAAAATGTTTTGGGTCTTTTTCTTAGTACAGTTATATGATCTCAAATACCCACAATTGATCATCACGTGCAGACATCCACAGTGTATTCAGTGCTGCAGACATTGGTATTGTGATGTGAGCTAATGAGATAATTCAGACAAAGACAGACGACCCTCCTGCATACATTCGGTGCTTTTCCTGAGTACAACTCTGAATAAAAGTCGTAAACTCTTAGATCATGAGGATTACAGTTTTGTTTTGTTTTTTGGTACTAGGGATTGAACTTGGGACCTTGCACTTGCAAGGCAGGTGGCAGTACCACTGAGCTAAATCCCCAACCCAGGTTTTAATTAGTGAAAGGTTTGATGCAGTGACCATTGGTTGGGCTGTTTCATCGGGCAGCTCGGTGGTGTCAGAGCTGCATGAAATCGGTGCTGTATTTGCGTTAATTACATGGTCAGGTAAAATACCTTGTATGAATAATAGATTTGTTTATACAGAAATAGTTTTAAATGTATGTAATTCGATCCCAAACAAAACATCAGCCTCAGCAGTCCCATTATCGTATTACAAGGCAGGGCAGTCTCCTGCAGTTCTTGTCACCTGCCTCCCAGCTGTGCCTGCTCCTTCTGTTTGGGCTTTTTGGTGCTAATTAAATGATCCCTTGTACAGACTTCGTAGGTCCAAGAACAGTCACCTTGCTCATTCCGGTGTTATTTCTTCTTTCTGCAGGAGTTTTGGTGAACATTATCACTCTTTGTGTAAAGCAGTATGTCACCTAGCAACCATTGATTGTATTTTCTCCCTGGCCAAGGTCGCTAAGCAAGGAGATTACTGCAGGTAATATATTGTTTATCCCTATTTTGTATCTTTGTTTCTGATAAAATGTCATTATTCTATTAATTTCAGTTTCTTTGTTATAAAATATTGCAGTTACTCAGATGTACTAAACTCTTGATTTAAACAATAGCCACTTTCCATTTTTGCTTCTGTTTCTGAGTTTGTTGAAAGCAGATGTTTGCTGTGACTAACTCTGAAGTGAACGAGGTGGTTTAATTTCTAAGTTGACGTGAGCAACATTTTTATAATGTGAGCTCCCTTTCATGGGTTAGAGTGACTGGAGCACTTAACAGCCTGTGCAACTGTACAGTGATGAAAGCTTGATTAGGCAAAGATGGGACTGAGGGGACAGGCTGTCTCTGTGATCTTTTCTGCTCTGGGTCATCCTGCCATGGTCCAGAGCCAGTGAGCTCCCGGCAGGCTTTGTCCTTTTCACAAAGGATGTTAGCATGAAGCGGGTCAAACTCTGAGTCTCAGCTCCACCTTGGGGCATTTGGATGGGTGGAGGGATGGAGGGAGAGATGGATGAATGGGTAGGTGGGTGGGTGGTTGGAAGGAGAGAATGAGGGCTAGATGGATAGATAAGTCCGTGGATGGATGGAAGTGATTAATGGATGGCTAAGTGGATGGATGGATGAATGGGTGGATCTCAGGAAAATTAGGATGATATTTGGCTCACTGACTTACCTTGAGAACTATGAAAGCATATACAAATGTGACTGAAAAATAACGAATGCTTAAAAAAAATTTTAAGTATATCACAGGGCTGGGAATGCAGCACACTGCTGGAAGGCTTACCTAGCATGTGTTAAGCCCTCGGTTCAATCCCATACCTCCTCCTTGGGAAAAACCCAAAAAGTGTATTTCAGTAAAAGATACATTGCTGTGAATCCCCCTCACAACCCCCACTTTGAACACACTCACCCCGTCATTCCTGCCACTTTCTGAGGGTCTCCGGTTTCGGCTAGCACTGTCCCCTGTTGATTCACTGTGTTGGCCTTTCATGGTCATCACACGGTGCCACATTCGGTGAATAAGGCGGATGGGGACTCAGCGTCGTGTCTTTACGAGCTTCCTTTGGTGGCAGTCACCTCCAGAAGACACTCGGGAGAGACAACATCTAGAACTGCGGCAGAAGGTGGCGAGGTCGGTGGGATGCGTGCGTGCGAAGCGAGGCGTATTCCTCGGGAGATTAAAGCGATGAGTCCTGCTGTAAGAGATTCGTACAGTTCGAACATTCACCATGTATTTTCCTTCCCCTTTTTATTAGTATGTGTTTGTGATACATAGTAAATACTGTATTCCTCGCTGGGAATTGGTACAAACACGTATGCATCTTGATCCTCTTTACTTTCTCTTCCCTTCTCTTCCATTGCCTCATCCCCAGAGCCCCTTCCATCTCCACAAAATCTATTTCTCTGTTTCCTACACTCCTTTTCTTGCTCCTAACTTATTTATACTTTGAGTTTTTCATATTAGAGAAACCATGTGATATACAGCCACCTTGTCTGATTTATTTCATTTCTCTTTGTGGTCTCACAGTGCATCCATTTTTCTGCGAATGACTCAGATTTATCCTTGTTTATGGCAGAGTAGTACTCCCGGGTGTGTGAATACCACACTTTCTTTATCCATTCGTCTGTGGTTGGACACATAGGTCACATCCAAGATTTAGCTGTTGTGAGTTGTGCTGCTTTAAACACGGGTATGCATAGATCACGATAATATGATGTCTTTAACTCTTTTGGGAAGACACCTAGAAGAGATATAAGCTGGGTAATGAAACCCCCCCAACATTCAAAGAGCAAATAAAAGTGGGGCAGAACTCAGTTAAAGAAGTACAGATGGCCAATAACGACGTGAAGAAACCCTCTCTGTCACCGATCATTAGAGACATGCAAATAAAGACAAAGTCAGATTCCACCCTACTGCAGAAGGAGTGGCTACTGTCAAGAAATCCGCTAAGAACAAGCACTGGCTGGGCTGTGGGGAGAGAGGAGCCCTTCTCCACTGCCGGTGGGGTGAAGGCTGGTGCAACCCCGGGAATGGGTGTGGAGACGCCTCAGAAAGCTGCAGGTGGAGATACCTCTCCCTGCCTCTGCAGGTCACCCTGGACGCTGCCTGGGGCGGGTGGCCGGGACAGAGGTCCCTGCAGACAGGCTTTGCTGCTCCCTCTTCCGCGTCTGTTTCCTCCTGCTTGGTACTTTTTATATATAGTGTCCTCTGTATCTGTGACGTCTGAGTGTCCAGTAGTGCCCACTAGGTAGTGGATGTAAGGAAAGTTTGTAAGTACAGTTTCTTTAAGGTTTTCCAAAGAACACAGACAAAATGAACCATTTTGCATTTTAAAAGGAGAGTAAAACTCTGTTATACCACTATGGTGTCACCATTTCGTTTTCTTACTGTGTCACTCAAAGTGCCTGTCGTGTCATCTTCCAGGGAGGTGAAGGAGAAGAGTGCAGGCACCACCTTTGTCACCTGCTGTGACGTTCCCGAGGAACAGTAGAGATCTCAGGAGTTTCCATGTCTTACCTCTAAGAGCAGAGAAAGCATTTGACAGTGACGGTGCGCGAGAAGATGTGGGTGGGGAGAGGAGGGGCACGTGGTGGGTCCCTTGTGTAGACATAGGCGGGTGGTGTCCAGGGGCCAGGACTGCAGACGCATGGCACAGGAGTGGCCTGTGAGTGGGGAGCTGGGGCAGAGTTAAATGGGTCTGTCCAGCCGGTTGTCGGGCATGGCAAGCCTTCGTTGTGTGCTGTTTGGTGACAAGAGCCGGGCCAGTTTGTCTTGCAGGAAGACTTGTGACAGCTTCCCGTCTTTCATTGTATTTGTTCACCAACGTCTACTTGACACTGTTTGTGGGTGGACAGGCAGGGCACTGAAAGGAAGCCGATGATGTAGAAGTGCAAACACTCATTTGATGGATGATCCTAGTTGGTGTTTACGAACCTCAAAGTGAAAATGATTAGCAGTTACGGAGCAGACAGTAGCCGTGCTCTCTTCGAGAAACCAGGGCCTCTCAGCCGTTTCACAGAATTCTCCAGCTGCTGTCGATGCAAGTGTGAGAAGAGCTGGTGCTGACAAGCGACGCTTCCTGGAGGCGTAGCAGAGCTGGGAGTACAGTATTTCGAAGTGAGTGTGGTCCGGGGCCCGCACAGCAGCTCTGGCTCTGGAGCTGTGTGGCCCGTTCTAGGCACAGCAGGAAGGAATAGAAATGTGAGTGAGATGCCATGCTGAGGCCGAGGCTGTGGCTCAGGGCAGAGCACCTGCCTGGAACGCACAGGCCCTTGGCTCAGTCCCCAGCACCGCAAAAGACAAAAAGCCCCCAAACATCGGAAATTAAACTCTTACTAAAGTTTGTTATGAGGTCAGGTTTTATTCTCAAGCCTGTAAAATTATTTGAAAAATGGACTTCATTTGAAACATCCATTGCAGTCAGGTGGTAGGTGGTGGTGTTTCCTTGTGTACTGCTGGTTCACACGAAGCACTGAGGTAAAGGTGGAATGTTCCAGAACAGCACGGCCGCGCTCCAGAGCAGTCACCATCAGTCGGTGCTTCTGTACGCGTAAGTGCGTGAGGAAGGCTGGGGCCAGGAGACGGACTGAGGTCAGGGACAACCGGGGAAGCCCCAGGTAGAAACGGCAGACAGGCTCAGGTGCATGGAGCCGCAGTGCCGAAGAAGCTGTTTCTGTATGAAAACATGAAAGGATGAAGTACTACAAAAAGGTCTTTCGTGGGAACAGAAATGACAGAGCATTTTGTCTTCAGATCCAGCACGGACCATTTTTATGTGAAGGCAGTAATCAGGAAATAATCTCACCTGATTTTCTTCATTATGTTTACTACTAAAAACAATTTAAGTACCAGTAACTGAGCTATAATCTTGAGTAATGAAAATACTTCTTTGGTCTTAACAATAATAGAAAAATAAAACATCACAAGCACCTCAGGAGGGGCGACTGCAGTGGCGGCTCTGTCCTGACTGCTGAAGTCTGTGCTGCGTCACTGCTGTTCCCAGTTCTTAATTTAGAGTGAGTGTCCAGCGTTTCTCCCCCAGGTCTTATTCTGGGCCTATGTTCCTTCTCTTTCCTTTCCTTTTTTAGGATACAATATCCTCTTGTGTCCACCCTTTTAAACGATTTTAACTGTCCATGCCGGTGGTGCACACTGGTGGACTCGGCCCTTGTACGTGACCTGCCCAGTCCGCTCTTTTCATCCCTTTCCTCCTGCCCTCCCTGCATCTCTTCATCCTGACCCCATTTAAGAAAGATTCATCTCTCTTCTCCCGATTATCTGTCTTTCATTTTGCTCTTTATTTCTAATGTGGTTTTCTCATGCAAGAAACGCCACGTGATATTTGAGCTTCTGTTTCTGATTTATTTCACCTGACGTGGATCTAGGTGCATCTATCTTTTAACAAATGACTCAAGTTTGTATTTCCTTTTAACAGCAGTGCTTCATTATGTGTAAAAACCTTCCTTCTGTTGACAGACCCGGGCTGCTTCCAAGATGTGGCTACTACTGGGGATCACTGTAATATGGTGTCTTTAACTCTTGAGAAGATTCCTAGAAGGGGAACAGCTGGCTCAATGGGATTTCTAGTTCCAGTTTGATGATGTTGTTGTTATTGTTATTTTTGGTACCAGGGCTCGAACGTGGGACCTTGTGCTTGCGAGGCAGGTAGCAGCACCACTGAGCTAAATCCCTGGCCCATCTAGTTCCAGTTTTTTGAGGAATCTCCACACTGATTTTCCATGGTGGTTGTACTAGTTTATGTTTCCACCAGCAAAGTAGAAGGCTTCCTTTTTGCCCACCGTCCTGCCTACCAACATTTGTTCTTACTTGATTTCTTGATGACGGCTGTTCTTTCTGCAGTAAATGGACTCTTGGTGCTGTTTTAGTTTGCGTTTCTCTAATGGCCGGAGATGATGAACATTTTTTCATGAATTGTTTAGTCGTTTGTACTTCTTCTTCTGAGAAGTCTTTGTTCATTTCACTTGCCCATTTTTGGGCTGGATCTTTTATTTTGAGAGGGTCTCTTTTTCTTGAGTTCTTCATATATTGTAGACATCAGTCCTCTGAAGAATAGCTGGCAAAAAAATTTTTCCCATCCTGTAGGCTGTCTGCACTCTATTGGTGGTTTCTTTGCCCAAGCTTTTTCATTTGATATAATCCCATTTGTTGGGCCTTCTGGTACAAGTAGGATTCTGTTCAGAAGGTCTGGACTATGTTCTTGGTGTCTAAGGTCCTGGTCTTCTTAGAAAGCAGATGCCAGCAGCAACCAGCTGCAACCAGCAGCAGACACTATGGTGCCGAAGTCGTCTGCATGGTTCTGTGGGCTGCACAGGGCCGTCATCAACACTGACAGAGGAGCGGTGTGCAGGGAGGAGGAGCCCTGCTGAGGGCCCATTTGGCATCAACTGCTGTAGCCTCCAGCTGCAGACTCTTGGTCACATGGCCACAAAGAAACCGGTTCCTCCACAGTGGAAGGAGCTGTGACACCCCAGCTGAGCCTCCAGATGAGAACTGGGTGGGTGACATTGCAGTCTGGGGACTCCCAGGGCAAGGGACGCAGCCCAGACAGGCTTCCAGCCAGGAACGTGACTGTCTTCAGCTGTGAAGCCTGAGCTCATTTGTTACTAGTCCTCCCTGGCTGCAGCCAGGCCCTGTCACCCACTCTCCTGTTTCAACCCTGTCCCCAGGGAAGGAAATGTGGAATCTCTAGAGAGATTCCAGAGCGAGAGCCTCGGGCAGGGAGGCAGAAGTGAGCTGTGATAAGGCACTGGGGTCACCACGCCACAGCCCCTTGGGCCTTCCTGTTCGCTCCTGGCATTTGGGAAGCCAGAGTACATCTCCAGGCGGGAAGGCGAAGGGGCTCTCAGGAACCCAGCGATGCTGCTGCGGGGCCTCAGTGGCTTCCTATAAAGCCATTGCCATGACTAAGTTGAAGCATGACTTCCTTTTGCAGGCCAACTGTAAAAGAAGAAAGGAAAATCATAATAAAAAATGGAAGGCACCCCGTGATCGACGTGTTGCTGGGAGAACACGATCAGTATGTCCCCAACAGCACCCATCTGTCAGTAAGTACATCGTTCTGCCAGAAAGGCAGTAAACGATGGTAACATTGACCGAACTTTTTGGTATCAAAGGGGTACTTTTTGTAATTCATTCATGCAAGCTTTAACTTTGGCTTTAAAGGGCATACTTTTATATTCACCACCCAATACGAAATCCATAGTTTCCCAGGAAAATTGTCCATGGATGGAAAGATACAGCCACTAGAAAAGATGATCTTCATTATCCTGGGTAACACAGGAAAAATAACTTTATATTCCAAAATTCATGAACATGCCAAAGAGGTTGAAACCCTGCGGCGGTTTCCTGACTCCCGAAAGTGTCTTGTGTGGGGTGCTCCGGGGGAAGACTCGCTCGTGTCCCTGGGATGGCACTTTCCATCGTGTGCAGGCACTGATTGGTCACACGCGCTCGCGCATGGCCCAGAGGGGAAGCAAAGAGCGGTGGCCATTCTCGGTGACCGTCCGACTGCTCTCAGTCCTCAGTGCAGCTGTGCCGCAGGGCCATGCACAGGGGTCTTCCATCAGGGAAGGCTCAGGGAAGACAGGGCAGACAGGGTGGCTGTGGGGGGAGTGAGGCCAGCTGTGGGGACTACAGCGTGAGGATCGGCGTCACAGGGAAGAGCCCCGGGAGCGGACATCACCGTGGGGCAGGGATGACTGGGCGGCGGCAGAGGAGGAGGCAGGACCGGGTGCGGCTGGTGGGTACAAAATCCCCGGCTTTACTAGGGCAGGGCCGAGCACTCACTCGGGGATGCAGATTTCTCCCAGAGCCATGGAGAAAGCCCTTCTGCAGCAGCGACCCTCAGAGAGGCTGCAGGGCTCTGCTGGCCGGACAGTGGTGACCCTCCTGGCGCAGGACGCCTTCCCGGGGGTGCTGGAGCGGCCTGGGACCGAGCCTGCAGCTGAGGAACTGTGCAGTGGCCGGGCTCCCCAGGGCAGGGTGGGCGTGATGGAGTGGGATCCAGACTGGACGTCCAGTCCCGGCAGAGCAGGAGCGGGGACAGGATGTGTGAGGGAGGCAGCGTGTCAGAGCGGAGGCACCTGTGTCTCCCGCCCGCGATGCCTGGCATGTGTGCCTGCTGTCTGCCTGCTCAGGCTGCGTGGATGGGCACTGCAGGAGTGACGCAGTTACCTCTCCTCTTCTGGGAGGCCCAGAAGCCCAGGGCCCAGGCATCAGGCCTGGTGAGTGCCTTTTCTGGCTCTGGATGGTTCCTTCTCCCAGTGCTCAGACCCAGTCACCCCAAAACCCCTCCCGATACCACTGTTGTGGGTCTAGAATTTCAGTGCATGCATTGTGCTGCCAACACTCAGGCCACAAAACTCCAGACCCCGTGTCTATAAACTTGTACCTTCCTGTTAGAAAACTTGTTGCTAAATTTGTCAAGCAAATTACTCAGCAGCAGTCTTTATTAGTCTTCACATTGTCTTTACAAAGAAGCTTGTGTGAGCATGAGAACTCCTTTTTTAGTTCCCAGAACACCAGGAGGGCAGAGCTTTAAGTAACACAGGACTAGTATTTGGGAGCTTGGCTTCTGTTTAACTTGTAAATCACTTCAGCTTCCTGCCCTGGTTTGCCTGCCCATCAGCCTGAAACCTCAGCCTCCAGAGCTTTTGTTTCTTTGCTTTTTCTCCTCTATCATTCTCTAGCCCCCCTTCTTTTAAGCAAGGTATTATATTGTTTAATAAAGTAAGATTTGAAGAACTAAAATAGCCTATTAATTATAAGGACGTTCTAAAGAAACACTGAATTCTTATATTTGAATCTTCACAAAATAAGCAGAGTGAATTTTTTCCAGCAGGCACCTCAGAATGTTCCAGAAGACTCATTTCTTTTACATATGCTTTTTCTAACTTGAGTAGGAGTTGATATGGAACTGTTGCTATGGTGAAGTGCATTCTACTTTTCGGGGTATAAATTTATATATAGGATTAGTGTCGAGAAAGAACTTAGCATGTAAAACTCAATCTAAACTACATTATGGTTAGTAATTTATAAAACAGACCCTGAAAATAATCCCCTCCACATTCAGTGGCATTGTTGCTTTCCATAATCATGTTGTTTTCAGAACTGGTCTCTCACACATGTCAGTTCCGAGGTTCTTTTCTGAACTCTATCCCATGAAATCACTGTAGTGCTTCTGAACAAGCCAGCTCTCTGCGCCCCTTTTCTCTCCAGTTTGCAGAAGACTTTTGAGCTCCTGTTTTCTCGTTCCTGTCCTCAGTGCACTGTGTGCCACAGGCTGTGGTCAGGCTGCCCCTGGCTCCCGTTCAGCCACACCCGGGGCTGCAGCCCCTGACCTGTGCAGTCGCTGTCTCGTTTGCACAAGCGCTGGTCCTCCCAGCTGCCTTGGGCCTCACCGGGTGCCTGTGGGTGCTGGCAGATGGTGCTGCCCAGAGTCCCACCCTTCCCCGCCTCACCCTGTTCCTCCCACGCCCGCACTGGCCCGCCTCCTCCACCCTGCTCCTCTCCAGGCTCAGCCTGTGTCCCCCTGCACGAGGTCTTCTCTAACCAACACAGGTGGGTGCCCCATCCCAGGCTAACCCCGCCGTGCCTCTCCACACCTTCACAGTCCTGCTGAGTCAAGGATATGCTTCTTTTCTGGCTGTGCTTCTCGCACGCTGTAAGCTGGAAGAGAGCAGGGCTTACGCCTCTTCCACATGGGTGTAATCCTCATATCTGTCACATGCTCTGACACAGAGCAGGAGCCTAATCGGTCTGTTAAGGAAGGCTTAGCTGGAAGTTTCCAGCAGTCTCCAAGTCTCACTTTACATTTTTGCCTTTTTTTCGTCCCTCTCCAAAACGTTACATTTTTAGGATGTTCTATTGAGATTTCACAGTTTGCTGAATAGTTGCTCTGCAACACGAGCAGGAAATTCAGTCTTGTGGTGTAGCGTTCTTCATGCCCATGAGTATACCAAGTTCCATGGGGGAGGTGACTTTCCAGAGGTGGTCCAGGTTAGAGCGTCTCGGACTGTTGTCATGGTTCAGGTCTAAATGTCCCCCAAAAGCTCATGTGTTTGCAGGTGGAAGGGTGTTGGATCATGGGGTGCTCTACCTATCAGTGCTGTTAGAAGGTGGGGCCTGGTGGGGGCGGAGAGTCACTAGGGGTGTGACCTGGAAGGGTGGATTCATGTCCGGAGCCACTTGCCCTCTCGCTAGCTGTTTTCCATTCCCCCCCCCTCTCTCTCCCTCTCTCTCTCTCTCTCTCCTCTCCCCCCCTCCCTAGCCACAGAACATAGGGATATTTTGATTGTGCACTGGAATGGAAAGAGAAGGTGGAGGCTGGCAGGAGATCAGAGCCCTGAGACAGGGCCGCCTTGGAGCGCAGGGCTCAGCCTTTGGCACGGCTGGAGCCCTCGGAGAGCCACTGAGGCAGATTGCTTGGGCCGTCCCACTGCAAGGCCCAGGGCTTCTTTATTAAACCAAGGCTTTCTGCTGGACGGGGTTTTGAGCAGTTCACGTTGAGGTTTTTGTTGATGGTTTTCTTATTTTGTTTAAATTAACTAAGTTGAACCGATTAGTAAGCTAGGCAGCTGGGAGAGAGAGATTAGAAAAGTGGGACGTCAGGGAGCATGTGAAGCCTGCAGATCTCTAGACCCGGGACACCCGCCCAGGTGTGCTGTCCTGGCCTGGGCCCCTGCTCCTCCTTAGCCTCTGTAGTGGGGCACGTATGAGAGAGAGGACTGCTTGAAGCTGGTGAGGGTGAAGACAACTTCCCAGTTTCTGATACTTGGCTGCTCTGGAAACGCTTGTTCTGGCTGTGTCAGAATTAACAGTAAGGTTAGTGGTAGTAGGTCCAGGAAGCTGTGGACCCGTTGTGTCTAATTTCCAAGCGGGGCACCAGTGGCACATGCCACAAACTGCATCTGAATGCTGAGCTCACCTTCGTTCTGTGGCTAGATTATTCCCACAGGTGCTGAAAGAAATGTCTTTTTCACATAGCCGGGTAAATAGATCCCGAGCCCCGGGCTGAATGTTAGGGGGGATATTGATGTGACTGGACATTATTTTCTATGACTTCTCTCCTCTTCTCACGTTCCTTCTCCCTTGAGAAACAATACAATGGAGAAGGACATTTATATGATGATTGATTATTTGTGCCTCTCTTTATTTAGAATATGCCTCCTTTTCTGTCTCTTATCCATCTTCATTGATTGAACTCCTATTAATCCTCCAAGGCCCAACTACCTACTCCTTAGTCCTTCACTATCACCTCAGGCTGAAACAATCTCTGTATGTTAGCGGTACTTTAAACTCTCATCCTCCTGTACTGCGTTTTGGAACCTGGGGACAGTGGGACAGTGGTGTTGGAAATCCTGTTCCAACATAGTTTTCCTGTCATTGTGGACAGGCCACCGTACTTGCTGGGCCTTGGTTTCCTCCTCCTTGGGGTGAAGGGGTTGGGCAGGTGCCTGCTGCCTTAGCCGTCAGCCCAGAGGCCGGTACCAGGGTGCTTCCCAGGCAGAAGGGTGTGGGTTCGGCCTCAGCCTGTGCTGCTGCCCAGCCACCTGGCCCCTTTCTGTCCCTTGTGCACAGAAGTGGCCGTATGGGAGCTGTGGGGAAGCGGCTTCCCCTGGGGGCTGCCCCTGTGCCCTGTCAAGGCCTGAAGTTGCCTCGGTTTCCCAGTGTCCTGCGGCTGTTATTAAACAGCCACCCCACGAGTCCTCTCTGGTCAGCACCGGTGTTCGTCACGGGAGGAAGCATCATTTGCACCGAAGTAGCTGTTGCTGGCCTTGGAAGTGAACATGAGGCATCTTGGTTTCTCTTTTCCTCTGTGCACCTTCCGACTTGGGGATCTTCGGGCCGACCAGCACTTGGTGCACCCAGTACCGGAGCCGGAGCCACCCCCTAGGAGTGGTGGTTCAGTCACTGAGCGAGCGCCCCCGGGGATGCTGTCAGGTGTGAGCTTCAGGGCAGCAGGGCATCCCAGCACTTCTGCTTAGCAGCTCTGCAGTACCGGACACGGTGCCGAGCTCCTCCCTGCCTCAGTTTCCTCACCTCT